GGCAGGGCCTGTATTTCAGTTAGGGTTGTCAGGTTCCCCCGGTGGGGGATGGGGGTGGGTTGCCAGATCCAGGCTAGGAAACTCCTGGAGACCTGGGGATGGAGCCTAGGGAGGACGGGGACCTCAGCGGGGTGTCCAATGCCACAGAGCCCACCCTCCAAAGCATCCCTTTTCTCCAGGGGAACTGATCTCTGTAGTCTGGAGAAGACCTGTAATTCTGGGGGTGCTCCAGGTCCCACCTAAAATCTTTATAAAATTGCAAAAATGTGTCCAGCATTCTCAATTGTACAAATTGTAAAAAAGTCCAACATAGTCCAAATGAGTACCCGGTTATGAACTCATTTCAACTTTACAGTCTTCCTCAGATGTAATCCTATATTGTAAGGAGGTGTCAGCTTCTTAATCCAGCTCAATATTGTAATTTCTTAATTTCCTTCATAATATCCTGGAATAAACCATAATCAATGAAAATCCACATGTAGCTGCATGGAAATTAGTTATTTTAAACATATTAGCCAAAAAAGTGCCAAAAAAGGTGCCAAAAAAGCCTCTAGGCTTATGGAGAGGATAGCCAGCAAAATCCAGGAGGCTTTTTTGGCACCTTCAGAGGATTGGCTTGCTCCCAATATAAACACTTACTATGGAACCAGAAGTAAGTTTTCTAAAAATTAAATTATTAAATCATTATAAGTTTTAAAGACTCAGACTTGACTGTGCGACTGAGCAACAACAACAACAGAAATTCGAGTCCAGTAGCCCCTCAGCTATCAACAAGAATTTCAGGATATACAATTTCGAGAGTCAAAGTTCCCTTTGTCAGATGTGATGGCACGTCCTCATTTGGAGTACTGCGCACAGTTCTGGTCACCACACCTCAAAAAGGACATTATAGCATTCAAAAACGATGTGGACAGAGTGGAGCAGGTGCAGAGGAGAGCGACGGGGATGGTGGGGGGCCCTAGGAGGAAAGGGAAGGCCGAGGGACTTGGGAACGTTCAGTCTGGAGAAGAGGAGGCTGAGGGGGGACAGGATGGCTCTCTTGAAGTATTTGAAGGGCTGTCACTTGGAGGAGGGCAGGGAGCTGTTCCTGTGGGCAGCAGAGGAAAGGACTCGCAAGAATGGGATTAAAGTAAGGGCGGGAAGGTACCGGCTGGATATTTGGATATATTTCTTTTTTTAAAGTGAGAGTTGTTCAGCAGTGGAATCAGCTGCCTAGGGAGGTGATGAGCCCCCCCCCCCCAGCAGTCTTCAAGCAGTGACTGGACCAACCCTCGTCAGGGATGCTCTAGGCTGATCCTGCATCACGCAGGGGGTTGGTCTAGATGGCCTGTATGGCCCCTTCCGACTCTTATGAGTCCAAGACAGGGGTTTAGATGCAAAGTTATAACTGCGGTTTATAACTATCAAATGCAAGAGCTGTACAACGGATACAGTATTTCTTGTATGACACTGATACCAGACCATGTCTCTGTTCAGGCATGGTTTATTTTAACTGTGGTTACTTTGTGAAACCTGCATTCAGCTCAGGCAATAACTCGAATCCTGGTTTGCGTCAAGAAACACCGGTTTCATTCTCTTCTCTCAGTTTCCTGAGTGGGTGTCAACAGGTAGGTCTCCTTTATGTGTACAGTTTTGGTACGCAGAGAGCTTGCTCCTTCTCCTTCTTTTGTCACCAGAGGGAAACACCAGGATTAAGCCAAGATGTCTACACATCCAGGTATCCCACCAAACCATAGTTCAAACTCTCTCTCTCTGTGTGTGTGTGTGTGTGTGTGTGTGTGTGTGTGAAGTGCCATCAAGTTGCTTGCAAGTTACGGTGACCCTATGAATGCATGTCCTCCAAAACATCCTAGAGCCCATTTGGTGTCGTGGTTAGGAACATGGACTGTAAGTTGGGACAACCGGGTTTGATTCCCCCCTCCTCCACATGCAGCTGCTGGTGTGACCTTGGGTCAGTCACTAGTTCTCTCAGAACTGTTCTCTCACGAGCAGTCCTCGAAAGAGCTCTCTCAGCCCCACCTACCTCAAAGGGTGTCTGTTGTGGGGAGGGGAAGGGAAAGGAGACTGTAAGCCGCTCTGAGACTCCTTTGGGTAGTGAAGGGAGGGGTATAAATCCAATCTCTTCTTCTCTTCTATCATCAACAACCTCGCTCAGGTCTTGCAAACGGAGGACCCTCATGGCTTCCTTGATTGAGTCAATTCATCTCATGTTCGGTCTTCCCGTTTCCCTGCTGCCTTCGACTTCTCCCAGCATTAATGTCTTTTCCCAGTGACTCTTGTCTTCTCTTAATGTGACCCTTATGATAGCCTCAGTTTGGTCCTTTTAGCTTCTGGGAGAGTTCAGGGTTGATTTGATGTCAAACCCACTAATTTGTCTTTTGGGCGGTCCACCGTGTCTGTGAAACTCCCAGCGCCAAATTTCCAATGAATCCACTTTCTTCCGGTCAGCTTTCACCTCTATACATACCAGGGGGGGAATGCTACGGTATGAATCACCTTGCTATAGTTCAAATAGCAGTGCCGCGTCGAACTGAGAGCATTCAGTAGATGTACCATCTTGTAACACCATCTTTGTGGAAGATCAGACTGGAACAGCCAGAGCACTTATCTTGATGTATGTAGAAAGGATTTTATATGGTTTTAATTTGTTTTATGTGTAGGCGTATGCCTGATTGTGAGCTGCCCTGAGCCCGCGCAGCGGGGAGGGAGGGCTATAAATTGAATTTATAAATAAATAAAATAAATAAATGATGGTTAATCAAGCAGATTCAGATCTTGACTTGATGGACCTTAGCTAATTTAACTTTGATTCAAGACCTCTTTGGTTTCTCTTGATGGAATTGTTAAATGGCCGGCAGCCTACAAACAATTTCTTTGGCAGTAGTTCCACTGAAATTTATGGGACGATTTCAGAACCCTTTGGAACAGATTTTGAGTCCAGTGCGGCACCTTGAAGACCAACAAAGTTTTATTCAGGCTATGAGCTTTCATGTGCAGGCACACTTCCCCGAAAGCTCACACCTTGAATAGAACTTTATTGGTCTTTAAGGTGCCGCTGGACTCAGACTTTGTTCTACTGCTTCAGACTCACATGACTGCCCACCTAGACCTATCTTCAGAACTCTTTGCAAGTGATATACTTAGGCTCAGTCTATCCTCTACAGAGTCCTTGTGTTTGCTGGGGAAACAACACTCACTCAAGGGGAGTTTTGCGCCTTCCAGACACAAACATGGGCTCATTCCTGATGTGACTGCCTTTAGCTGAACAGAACTTTTGGTGGTGAAAAGTCGTGTCAGGTTTTGCAGCTGACTTGTGGCGACCGTGCAGAGTTTTCAAGGGAAGAGATGTTCAGAGGTGGCTTGCCATTTCCCTACGTCCGCATCGCAATCCTGAACTTCCCTGGTGGTCTCCCATCCAAATACTAACCAGGGCCGACCCTGCTTAGCTTCTGAGATCTGACAAGGTCGGGCTAGGCTGGACCACAGCACACAGGGGAGAAGAACTGTTTTTGTGTCCTCCAACCACCCTATCAAGCCACTATTGGCTCTGAGGTGAACTTTACATGTAGAAGAAGAAGAAGAAGAAGAGATTGGATTTATACCCCGTCCTTCACTTGGAGTCTCAGAGCGGCTTACAATCTCCTTTCTCTTCCCCTCCCCACAACAGGTGGGTGGGGCTGAGAGAACTCTGACACAGACTGCTCTTTTTCAAGGACCACTGTGCCAGAGCTTGTGACTGACCCAAGGTCACATCAGCAGGTGCAAGTGGAGGAGTGGGGAATCAAACCCGGTTCTCCCAGATTAGAGTCCGCGCACTTAACCACGACAGCCGATAGCAGCCCCACAGGGTGGTTGGAGGACACAAAAACGGTGCGTGTGGGAAGATAAAGTCATTTCTTCCTTTGTGCTGTGGTCTCAGACAGACAAGACCTGGTGCGCATCTGGGAGGCACAAAATTCTAACTGCACAAGTGATATGAACTCCTTGCGTCGTCCCCCCAACAAACACGAGGACTTTGTGATGTATAGAAGGAGCCATAGTCGCACACTGCCTTGACGTACCATCACTTGGTTGCACCAGTGTTGAAACTGATGTAATACTTTCATAATATGATGGCACGCACTATGTAGGGGCATGGACGAGGGATGCTTTTATAAGGTGTGAGGTAGTCCTTGATGGATTGAAGGTTTCAGCCTAAACTAATTGCATTTTTGGTCCTCGGATTGTGTACGGTTGCACCAGTGTTGAAACTGATGTAATACTTTCATAATATGATGGCACGCACTATGTAGGGGCATGGACGAGGGATGCTTTTATAAGGTGTGAGGTAGTCCTTGATGGATTGAAGGTTTCAGCCTAAACTAATTGCATTTTTGGTCCTCGGATTGTGTACAAAATTGCCTACCAGTACGAGCTGTGCATCTAAGACTGTGGTTTGAGGCATTTAAATTCAAATTATGTCAGAGTGTAGGCGGCTTAATCGTTTAGGTATTTGATTTTTTTAAAAAACACGTTCTTGTGGTGTCCTTTACCATTACCTCTCTGCACCGAAAACACGTGAGTATGAGGAAATATAAAGATTATGTGGTTAAGGGTTCACACTGAACTGATGGGTGTGGTGGAAAAAAATCAGAATATATATATATATATATTTTAATGCAGAACTGTTTGACTAAATTTAAATTGAAGGACAAGAAAATACCTCCCTCTCTCTGTCACACACACATACTACCTATCTGCCCGAGGGACTTGAGATAAAACACACATTTATGCTATCCGACAATATCCCTTCCCCCACTCTACAGACTTGAAGCTGAAGAGCTATTTCAGATTGACTAATTTCTCTTCCCTAATGAATGCTCCCTTTGCTCGCTGCTCTTTTGAGGTTAATTGTGCATGCACGGATCCTGCCCACAACTTCCTTTCTCATAAAACCATAACAAAAACTTGGTTACCCTTTCTGGTATTATCTAGACCTCTCTCCCTCTCTCTCTCACGCGCACAGAGACACGTCCAATCTGGGCTCCAGCATCCCAGCTCGAGAACGGCGACTGGCTCTCCCGAAGTGCTGAGGAGAGATCTGCTTTGTTTCCAGCTTCGGTGGGATTCAGAGATCTTTGAGCAATCCCACATCTGTCATTGAGATGATTTCACTTTTTACCGTGATTGTCCTTTCCAGTGTAGCTGATGGCATCCCCAAAGGTGAGTCTGATGTTAGGACTTGGCATTTTCCTTCTGGGTAGAACAGTGATCCAGCAGAGAGGTGAGAAATCCATTGGCAACTGGGGCTTATATGAAAACTATATGAATACTGTAGGACAAGCTGTGTTTTCAATGCATCTGGGAAATACTGTTGGGATTGATTACAGCAAAAATCTTTCCATTCCCTCCAAACCCGTTGCTGAAATATACACACGTTTCTGTAGATATCCAGTGTGGTGTAGTGGTTGAGAGTTTCGGGCTAGGATCTGGGAGACCCAGGTTCGAATCTCAACTTGTGCCATGGAAGCTGGCTGGGTGACCTTGGGCCAGTCACACACTCTAAGCCTAACCTACCTCACAGGGTTGTTGTGAGGATAAAACAGAGGAGAGGAGAATGATGGAAGCCACTTTGGTGGGGAGAAAGGCAGGTTACCAATGAATTAAATAAATAGGAAATATCCCGATCAGTGTTCCCTCTAAGCTGAGTTAGTGTGAGCTAGCTCACAGTTTTTTAGCCTCCAGCTCACACATTTTTGTCTTAGCTCAAGGAGGATGTCTCCAGAGGAAACTAATTTATGCAGCAGCCCAATCGCTTGCTCACAACTTTAATTCCAGTAGCTCACAAAGTAGAATTGTTGCTCACAAGACTCCACAGCTTAGAGGGAGCACTGATCCCGATAATAATTGCACATATATGGGTGAGTTAGTATTTCTCTTCTATAAAATTATGGCTCCTGCTAATCAGTGTTCCCTCTAAGCTGAGTTAGTGTGAGCTAGCACATAGTTTTTTAGCCTCTGGCTCACACATTTTTGTCTTAGCTCAGAAAAGATGGCTCCAGAACAAATTAATTTATGCAGTAGCCAAATTGCTTGCTCACAACTTTAATACCAGTAGCTCACAAAGTAGAATTTTTGCTCACAAGACTCCACAGCTTAGAGGGAACATTGCCTGCTATATATATTTTTAAGAAGTTCCTTTAACTGGCTACCTGCAGGAGAGTTAGTGAAGTGGCACATACAGTAAATAACATAATACGTTAAATTAAACCATAATGCATTAAATCAAGCTATTTTCTTTCACTCGATTTGTTGTGATCCACCCCGAGCCCATTTGGGGAGGGCGGAATAAAAATCCCTAAACAAACAAAATATTTTCCCTGCATGCAATGGGGTATTTCTGATGGATCTAATGCATTCAAGTCGAATGCATATTCAGTTTTATTTTAAGAACCTCAGGTCAATGTGTTGTCGAAGGCTTTCACGGCCGGAGTTCATTAGCTGTTGTTAGAGATTCCGGGATGTGTGGCCGTGGTCTTGGCATTGTAGGACCTGACGTTTCTCCAGTAGCTGTGACTGGCATCCTCAGAGGTATAACACAGAAAGACAGAGTACTCTCTGTGTCAAAGTACTCCGTCTTTCTGTGTTATACCTCTGAGGATGCCAGTCACAGCTACTGGAGAAACGTCAGGTCCTACAATGCCAAGACCACGGCCACACATCCCGGAAAATCTACAGCAACTAACGACCTTCACGTTGCTTGCATCCTTCCCCTCTCCCCCCCCTTTATGTTTAAGTGATTTCTCTTCAAGATGCTTATTCGTCATGACGTTCTGCGCTTCTTCGTTGCAGTCATGGAAGTGACCCAGCCGGCCTTCCTCGTTGTGAAAAGAGAGGAGGCGGTCCACTTCATCTGTGATTACAGCTGCGCCGGGGATGCAAAGCAGTTCCAAATCACTTTGCACAGGCGGACAGGCAATCAGTCTGTCCAGATCTGCGCCTCGTCCTTCACGACCAAGTATGAGCCGTCTCTCATGGAAGAGCCCATCCGCTGCCAAGTCCGTCCCAGTCACAACAGAGTCAACCTCACCCTTTGGGGACTGCAGGCAACTGACGCAGGTCTTTATTTCTGCCAGATGGAGCGGATTTATCCCCCGCCTTATTACCCGGTCATGGGGTCGGGGACCCAGCTCTATGTCATCGGTGAGCATTGTTTGGTATCAGGCGGGTTTCAGAGGCATCGCAAAGGGAATTCACTGATCTCTGTAGGTGGCCAGTCCCACCTCTGCAACCCAGGGTCTTAGTTTCTCAAAGATTGTTTGTCCCCAGCGGCCAACCTACCAGGGATCTTGCAGCCCAAGCTATCCTTGGGAACCAGCTGGTCACCGATATTTTCTAGGCCTGTTGATCTTGGTCTTGGTCATTGGAAAGCCTTGAAGGGGGCACAGAGGTGAGGTTCTGGGTTTGATCCCTATGAAGAAAGGTTAAGGCACTTGGGGGCTCTTTAGTTGGAGAAACGATGACTGAGGGGTGACATGATCAAGGTTTACAAGAGTATGCATGGGATAGAGCAGGTAGAGAAAGGAGTACTTTTCTCCCTTTCTCACCATACAAGAACTCATGGGCCCTCAATGAAATTGCTGAGCGGTCAGGTTACAACGGGTAAAAGGAAGTACTTCTTCACCCAAAGAGTGATTAACACATGGAATTCACTGCCACGGGAGGTGGCAGCAGCTACAAGCATGGATAGCTTCAGGAGGGAATTGGATAAACATATAGAGCAAAGGTCCATCAGTGGCTATTAGCTGGCCACAAGGTATTGATAGGAACTCTCAGGCTGGGGCAGGTGATGCACTGTATTCTTGGTGCTTGCGGGGGAGGCAACAGTGGGAGAGCTTCTAGTGTCCTGGCCCCACTGCTGGACCTCCTGATGGCACCTGGTATTTTTGGCCACTGTGTGACAGAGTGTTAGACTGGATGGGCCATTGGCCTGATCCAACATTGGCTTCTCTTATGTTCTTATCTGCCCCCACTGCTGGACCTCCTGATGGCACCTAGTATGTTTGTTCACTGTGTAACCGAGTGTTGGACTAGATGGGCCATTGGCCTGCTCCAACATTGGCTTCTCTTATGTTCTTATCTGTTTCATTTTCAATGGTCCCTTCTCCGAATGGTCTTGCCTCAGGGGGAGGGTCCTGGGTTGTGGGGAGAGATACTACCATTAGTGGAACATATCTATCTTTAGGGATCCCCATGGATGATGTAGGATCTGGCAGCACTTAAGTCTTCCAGCCTGCCCCTGAAACACAGGCGCTGTGATTTTCTTTTTACAGGCTTCAACGGGAAGCCGCTGCCTGCCTGTGTACAGAAGGGATTAATGTACATCAGGCCTTTCAATGGCTTCCCAACCCAAAGTCACCTTTAGGTGAATGGGATTTCTGACTGCTGCTGGGAAATCAATGGCCATAGTCAGTCGGTAGCCCAGCTTTTCAACACGGCCTCTATCATGGCCTCTATCACAAGCGCCGCTTCACCTTTCCCCAGCCTTTGAAAAGTATAGAAACATCCAATTATTCCTGTTAGAAGAGCTTTTTTTTTCCCTGGGGGAAGATGGCGGAATGGACTTCCAGAACCTCTTTGACAAAATTCGTTTAAAAAAGGTTTAAAAGTTCATGAGTTTTCAGTATACAGATTGCAAACTTCATTTCCCTCTTCATTTTCCAGAAAAAAGAAAAGAAAAGAACAGCCCTGCCTGTTAGTAGATCTATTTTTCTAATAGCCAAGTTGCCCCCTCCGTGTGGATATCTAAATCTGCACATCGGGGACACTTGGGGGGCAGGGAGCTTTTCCTGCACACTTGGAGCAGTCTCCAGGTGGGCAGAAAAATATAAAAAGTTGAAAAAATACGGGGGATACTTAAATCCCCCCCAAAAGTAAAAGAGCATTCCCTGCACATGCACAGAGAATGCTCTGGCCATTGGGGGGAAGACTTGGTGGGCCCGGCGGCTGGGAGCCTCTCAGGCTGGGTCTCACCATTGGTGTGTGGGGGGGGGAGTGGGGGAGAAGGCTCACCTGTGGCTGCTTCCTCCTCCTCCACGTGGAGCTCCCCCCCCCGGTGAGTATTGCGGTTTCCCCCTTCTTGTCTTACCTAAAAGTGTCGCCGAGTCTTGCCAACTTGGAGATGACCAGAGGGGTTACTTACCCAAACATGAGAGGGCAGAGGAAAGACTAATAGTGCACTCTGACATAGTGTCACACCTGTCTAAGTCCATTAAGAACATCAGAGAGGCCAATGTTGGATCAGGCCAAAGGCCCATCCAGTCCAACACTCTGTATCACACAGTGGCCAGAAATACCAGGTGCCATCAGGAGGTCCACCAGTGGGGCCAGGACATTAGAAGCCCTCCCACTGTTGACCCCCCCCCAAGCACCAAGAAGACAGAGCATCCCTTGCCCCAGAGCCCCTAGCTATACCTTGTGGCTAATATCCACTGATGGACCTCTGCTCCATATGCTTATCTAATTCCCTTTTGAAGCCATCCATGCTTGTAGCCGCCACCACTTCCTGTGGCAGTGAATTCCAAGTGTTAATTGCAGCATTAGAAGAGACTGTGTTTAGGATTGCACTGTAAGCTGTGGTTTAAAGTCCTGGAAACCTTTCGTTCGGTCACAGACTTTGTAAATACCAATAGAGACAGAGCTGCCAAGGGGGTGGGACAAAAGGGTCACTCTGGGGGCCCTTTTTCCCTTGTGAAACACTGTAAGGCTGCGGTCACGCACACCAAAAAATCCACTTCCAATCCACTTTCAGTGCACTTTCCAACTGGATTTTACTGTGTGAACTGGCAAAACCCAGTATATATTGTAAAAGGAGCCAGTTACCTGTCTGATTACAGAATACCATTTTCGTAATCCTACCCTCAGAGACACTACCTTCCCCTTATTGAATTCCCTGAAGGAGTAAGCCCAGTTGAACGAAGTGGACTTGGCTTCTGGGTAAATAGGACTGCACTGTCAAATATATTTTCTGCAGCTGCTGCTAAGAAGGTGATGCTCTCATTACTGGGACAAATCAGAGAAAACGTGTAGAATGTGTTCGGACCTGTGGTAATTTTTTATAAATATATATTTCCAGACCCAGAACCCTGTGTAGACCTCCACCTTTACCTTTGGATCGTGACTGCGGTAGCTTCTGGGTTGCTTGCATACAGCGTTTTAATCACGGCCTTCCTTTTGAGAAAGGCGGTAAGTACCATGGTAACCGCACACTAGGTGAGAATTTGAGAGTAAATTTAGAGAAGTCATTAATTTCTCAAGTATATCCTAGTCAGGCAGCTTTGGGTCTTCTGTCTTTTGGGAACAAAAAGAGAGTCAACGGGGTCTTCTTTCTCGAAAAACACATATAGGAGTTGAGAATTCATGTTCCGAGCCTCTGTTATGGCTCTAATTGCAACGACGAACTTCATATACACTTGCAATGATATTGCCATGAAGCTAAATGGAATCTGGAATTTTGGTGAGGTAAGCTATTGTCCTGAGGGCTGAAGAAGTGTCAAGAAAGGCTGGAATAGCTGCAGTGCTATTGGAGAAGTGGAAAAGAAATTCATTGCAATGGTTGGGTTTGGGAACGTTCCCCTGACAGTGGTGGTGGTGGTAGAAAGGGCTGTCAGGTTCACTTACAACTTGTGGTGACCCCGTAATCAGTCAGAGGTGAATAGAGGTGGTTTGCCACTCCTTGCGTCTGTGTAGAAACCCACGTCTTGCCCTTCCTTGGTGGCCTCCCATCAAAGTACTAATTTGGGCTGACCCTTGTAACGATATGAGCTTATGTTATTTTGGGCTGACCCTGTTTAGCTTGCCGGATCTTACAAGATGAGGCTAGCCTGGACCATCCCGAAAGACAGGAGGCAACATCAGGGGTAGGCCTCAGCCTCAATGCCCAGTTCTTGGCCCTCCAGAAGAACTGGCTGGCCTCTGTGTGAGACAGGATGCTGGACTGGATGGACCACTGGTCTGATCCGGCAGGGCTCTTCTTATATTCTTAGGAAGGCCTCGGCCTCTCTACCCTGTTGTTGGCCCTCCAGAGGAACTGGTTGGCCTCTGTGTGAGACAGGATGCTGGATTAGAAGGACCACTGGTCTGATCTGGCAGGGCTCTTCTTGTGTTCTTATGAAGGCCTCGGCCTCTCTGCCCTGTTGTTGGTCCACCAGAGGAACTGGTTGGCCACTGTGTGAGACAGGATGCTGGATTAGAAGGACCACTGGTCTGATCCGGCAGGGCTCTTATGTTATCCCAGTCAGGGCATTGGTATGGTAGCCAAGAGTAATTTTAGCCAACTCTACTAAATTACATTAATGCTCTCTATGTGGTTAATCCACCTTCTCACAATAGCACATTGAATGAAGGCCACTAAATGGCTACTAGACATGATATTTTGGAGGTCATCCCATTGCCCATTTAACATATGCACTGAGGTGGGGGGATGGCAGAGAGAGGCAAGGAAAGTGTGCAAGGATACCCGATTCTTTTCTATCACCAGAATTAACAAGACATATCTCTCCATTTGCCAAAATGTACCACATTGCCCTATAGTTCTATCACCAGAATTAACAAGACATATCTCTCCATTTGCCAAAATGTACCACATTGCCCTCAGACATTCATGTCTCCCTGTTAAGAGAATGTAGAAAACTTTTAAGATCATGAATGTGTATTTTTGGGATATGAATATAAGATTGGTGAGTGTAGTATGTCCAATGGAGATTAGCAACGTAGAGCCAGTTAGGTGTGGTGGTTAAGAGTGGCGGACTCTAATCTGGGAGAACCGGGTTTGATTCCCCACTCCTCCACATGCAGCCAGCTGGGTGACCCTGGGTCAGTCACAGTTCTCTCAGAGCTGTTATGTCAAGAGCAGTTTTCTCAGAGCTCTCTCAGCCCCACCTACCTCACAGGGTGTCTGTTGTGGGGAGAGGAAGGGAAGGAGATTGTTAGCCACTCTGAGACGCAGAGTGAAGGGCGGGGTATAAATTCAACTCCTCCTCCTCCTCCTCTGTGTGGAATGCAGAAGTGGATTGTATATCTTTGAATATACATAGCAGAACATTCACAGCAGCATGCTCAGAACATATGTGGCAGCATGAATCTCTCTTAATTTTTTTTAAATTTTCCACAAAAAAGCATCTTACAACTTCACTTACAACCTATCATGGTACCAAGATTCTTCCATTATTTTCAGTTTTATGAAATTACACTTTACAGCAGTTTAGGAATGCATCACTTTGAGGTTATTTCAATCCATCTATAAACCCTCAACCATAAATTCTCAAATACCTCTTCATTTTTACCTTGTAACGTAAGAGTTAACTTTTCCATTTCAGCCACGTCTAACAATTTATGTATAAATTCTTCCCTTGAATTTCTTGTTGCTGCAGTCTCAGACCTAACGTAATAATTTTCTTTCTTTTTAAAAACAGGTACTTAAGAGAGTGTATTCTGTCCCTGGCACCTACATGAAAATTGCACCAATGTAACTGGAAAACGACAAAGAAAGCTGTTCACCTTCCTGCTCAGAAACAGGAAAAAAATTACTATGCTAACTGATGGGATGAAGTGTCTAATACAGTGTGTGGGGGGGGAGATTTCCTAACAAATGGGAATTTAGCTTCCATGTTAGATCCAAATGAATGGGGAAGTGAGGCATTAATGAAAATATTAGCTTTATTCTACAAAGCTATCGTGTGCTTGACTGCTTTGTTATCTGTCCACATAATTCCATAAATTGTACCCCAACGGCATTTCCCTCTGTAAAAAAAAATCTCACAAGGTAGTGGTACTTAGGGCTAGCTAATACGATAAGGAGATTGTGCTTGGAGGTGATCCCCCCCCTTGTTTGAAAGCATGCCATTAAAGAAAAATTCCCTGCACACAGAAATGTAGTCTAAAACCCTTTCCCTGATGAACTAGCTTGCTATGGTGCAAGAAAAGCTTTACTGTTTGCTTCAGCTGAATATGTAAGGTGACCCAGTCAGTATGGGTTACTTTACTCTGTGGGAGACACTCTTGTTTCAGGGAATGTCTGCATTGCTCTTTTTTAAAAAAAGATGTGTAAGCTACTGCTGTTGAAATGAGTAGGCAATCATGGAAAATGTGTAAAGAAGGGCAAAAACGTTTCAATAAACCACTCCTTGCTTTACTGGATGCTGTTTGTAGCTGCCTCTTTCTCTCGTCTGCAATTTCAGTGCTTTTATTTCCTTACAAAAACCCCCCACAACCACCTCAAAACAAAATGGAGAATCCAGCCAATTAGCGATCATGTAGGCCAGTCCCCCCCCCCCAACATAGTGACCGCAGACACTGTTCCTGGTGCTGCCCAAGTCTTTTTAGAAAGTGGGTGGGACTCTTACACAGCAGCACTTCTGATTGGCCACTGAAGGGGCAATTGGCTATGCAGAGTAAAATGACATTGTTTCAGTGACAGCAGCCACCAAACCATGCTGCCAACCTCCAGGTGGGGCCTGGAGGCCTCTCAGAATCACCAATGAGTTCCAGACCACAGAGATCAGTTCCCCTTGAGAAGATGGACTCCATGGCATTATAGCCTGACGAGGTCTCTTACCTCCCCACATCATGCCCTCCCAAATCTTCAGGAACTTCCCATCTTGGAGCCGGCAACCCTACGCCACAAAGTTTGTTTTACTCTCTCTCGTGCAGGGGGTTGGACTAGATGACCCTGGAGATCCCTTCCAACGCTACGATTCTCGTCTATGAACAAAACCACTTCTCTGTTTTGACAGATGACCCCTTTTGCTCAATCAGCTATGTCCTGGAGCAGCTGGTCATTTTGGCCCCTTCTCCAGTTTGCCACATCTTGTTTGGCGCTTTCACTAAATAAAGGGGAATTTCAGACAGGCGCTATGTCCCGGTAGAGAACCGATTCTCAACCGGGTTGTGGTCTGTCATTTCAGACAGAACCCGGTTAGGAATCGGTTCCCTACCGGGATCTAAGTGGCATTTCAGACACAGAAGCCTCTCTTCCGTATAGGAACCGGGAGGGAAGCGATTTACCTGTCAACCGCTTCCGAGGAGTCTCCCGTTCCCTCTCCCGGTTCCGATACGCTTGTTTCCCGCCTTTTTTCACCCGCGCGGGCCATTTGAGGTTCTGGTATAGCGATATATCGATATATCGCTATAAGCCGAACCTTAAAAAAAAAAAAAACGATCGCCCGCACAGGAAGAAAATGGCGGGAAAACGAAGCGGTGCGTGTGTGAAACGCCGAACCGCTTGTGAATCGGCTCCTTTCCGGTAGGGGCAAGCCGTGTGTGAAACGGCAGCCCTGTACCGGTTCATCTGGAAACGGAAGACTCCCGGTCTGAAACCGGGAGAAAACTGGTAATGTGAAATTCCCCTTAGTTTTGCCTGTTCAAGCAGCTTAGCTGATTTGCGCTTTGATGACTGACCATAAAGGTAGCCGTTAACAGCATCATTAGTATCAGGGACATTATGAAGTGCCTCCTTTCCCTTTCCCCTTTTGTCCTTCAACACCCTCCCTCTCAGACTCTTCTTCTCTCTGGTCTGCCCCACACCCCTAAGAGTGTCGGCAGTTCTTGCCACCACCTAAATAAGGGTACGGCTATTGCACTGATGGCCAACCCAACTCCTCGTTCCCACGAACAGGATGCAAACAGAAAAAAGCGGGTAATCATGCATCCCTGGTTGCTTCTGTCTGCAACATGCTGGGTGAAGGTGAGGGTGGGTGACGAGCTGGCCTCACTTCACAGGGGTGGGGGAGAAAGCCTGCAGCAAGCAGGGGTCATTTCCTGCAGGAGCGCACAGGAGCGGAGCTCCGGCAGTAAAGAGCCCAGGGGGCGGGCACATGCAACAAGCCCTGCCCCCTGCTCCCAGCAGCCCTCAGTCAGAGAAAGAAGCAGCTAGGTAAGTTGCAGAGCTCCCCCTGGCCCCCCAGTCCGAAAAAGTCCAGTGGCACCTTTAAGACCAAGTTTTGTTCAGGTACAAGCTCTCCTCTCCTCTGTAGAGCCTCTGCTTTCCACTCTGAAGGTCCCAGGTTCAATAGCAGGTGGTGTGAAAGACCTCCCCCTGAGAGCCTGGGGAGACAGGAGACAACACAGGTGCTGAAAGACCAGGGGGTGGCTGGAGATCTCCTGGGATTACAGCCGGTCTCTCGGCAACAGAGATCAGTCCCCCTGGAGAAAACGGCCACTTTGGAAGGTGGACGCTGTGGCATCGCACCCCATTGAGGTCCCTCCACAAACCCCACCCCCTTCAGTCTCCACCCCTCAAATCTCCAGGCATTTCCCAACCCAGAGCTGGCGGCCCTAGTAGACGGCAGCTTTGTGTGTTCTCGAGCCCCTATATTGTTGGTGGCTGCAGCTGAAAATGTGTCAGGCAATAATATCGTTAATCACTTGTCAGGAGGGCGTTACCAACCCTCTCCTGCCTATGCCGGAGGCCACCCTGTCAGCTCTCGCCAGCAGGGAAACACTAGTCCGCGACCCTTTCCCGGAGGACGCCCCACCTGGAGGCTGGCAACACGAAGTCCAGGGTCACAGTGCAATGGCAGGCCACCCCTGAGATATGGGGTGGGGCCGTGGCCCAGTGGTAGAGCCTCTGAATGAAGGATGGTGGGTCAACCGAGACCAGTTCCCCTTTGAGTTATGGCTGGTGGCGCGGGTGCTTTAAGAAGAGGATCATGGGTGGGATCCCAGGTGCACCGAGAGAACGAATAAAAGAAAGAGCCAGGTGAAACCAGGGAGGAAGGAGATGCGGGGAGTGACGGAGGAGGACAGAGAGGAGTAAGAAACAAACTCAAACTCGTCTGAACGTCTCCCCCATCGTTGTTTAGGAGTGACTTTAACTCCAATACAACAATTCTGAGGTGAACCTGCACTCTTGGGAATTCCTGTCTACACATCCTGGATCCCGTCCATAAGCCACTCAACCCCTCCCGACAACCCGGACCTGACATCACTGTTGCTGTCAGAATCAAGGAATGAAACTCGACGCCAGTGCGCCCTCTAAGCTGTGGAGTCTCGTGAGCAAAAATTCCGCTTTGCGAGCTACTGGCATCGAAGGTGTGAGCGAGCGATTTGGCTGCAGCATAAATGAGTTTGCTCTGGAGCCCTCCTTCCTGAGCTAAGACAAAAATGCGTGAGCCGGAGGCTAAGAAGCTCTGGGCTAGCTCACACAAACTCAGCTTAGAGGGAAATACCTGGAGATTTTGGGGGCGAAGCCTGAGGAGGGTGGGGTTTGTCCACCTTCCAAAGCAGCTATTTTCTCTAGGTGAACTGATCTCTGTCATCTCGAGGTCAGTTGTAATAGCGGGGGATCTCCAGCCACTACCTGGAAGTTGGCAACCGTGGGTGTAGCTTAGCAGCCTACTACAGATGAGGGTCATTGATGTACGTTCAGGATTTGAATCCTTGTGTGTGTGTGTTTGTATGTCTGTGTGTGTGAGTGTGTATCTGCACCTGGATGTCATGGTGACCGCTGGTGACTGACCCCTACTTGGGGGCCCGGAGGATATTCAGAGAGGTGGCTGAGTAAAGCCTGCCTCTGCCTCCCGCCTCTGGTATTCCAAGGAGGCCTCCCATCCAAGTACTTGCCAGAGTCGACCCTCCTTAGCTTCCAAGATCTGACGAGATCGGGCTTGCCTGGGCTATCCAGGTCAGGGCGAGGATTTGAATCTTGAGGGCCGAGGCCTTCCTGTACCTGGAGAAGCCACCTGCCTCACTCGGCGTGGACAGTGGAACTCTATTTTCTAGGCTTTAATCGTTTTTCCTCTTTCTTGGCCTCTTGCCAGAGTGATGTCAAGGCAGTAGTTAACAATGATGCATCTCTGAGCCAATAGCGACAGACCCACAGGAGACAAAGGTCACACGGCAGGAGTCCTATTCGGCTGTTGCCGAGAGGTCTCTTGAGCTCTGCTGGAGACTTTGGTTTAATGGATGAGGGCCCGATATAGTCTTCGGCTGCTCTAGCCACAGGCCATTACAAGGGATTTGGCAAATGCTGTGCTGTAAAAAGCAGAAGGTGGCACTCCTCTTCTTTGGGATTTATTAGCGAAGAGGATTCTGAGCAATTCAGCAAATACCACAAGGCTGTGCCGGTGACCACTGACTCCCATGCTATCCAGCTCACCTGTTAAGATCCTCTTCTCAAGCCCTGCACTTTGAAGAAGAGGAGGAAGAAGAGTAGGTTTTTATACCCTGCTTTTCTCTACCCCAGGGAGTCTCAAAGCGGCTTACAATCCCTTTCCTCTCCTCTCACCACAACAGGCACCTTGTGGGGTAGGTAAGGCTGAGAGAGATCCGAGAGAACGGTGACTGGCCCAAGGTCACCCAGCAGGCCTCATGTGTCTCAGAGTGGCTAACAATCACCTTCCCTTCCTCTCCCCACTACAGGCACCTTGTGAGGCAGGTGGGGCTGAAAGAGTTCTGAGAGAACGGTGACTGGCGCAAGGTCACCCAGCTGGCTGCATGTGGAGGAGTGGGGAATCAAACCCGGTTCTCTAGA